CGTTTGCTGTTAAAAAGGTAAATTGAAAACCTGACAAAAAATAGGTCAGGAAACCCTGTCATATATGATTCGATGTGTCATCATCTCCTCTTTCCAGCGGTGAAGACCGCAGCTCTCTCTCTTGTTTTTATCAAAAGTTATTCAAAAAATACTCATCCGTCTTTTTTTAAAATCAGTGTTCATGCTACCGGGACACATACAAATAAAACAGATCTTATCGAAATTTTATTATTATAATATTAGTTGAAGTATGATCAAATAGCATAGAAAAATAGAGCCTGTATCACTACATCAAAAACGAAAATTTCCTTGTACTTACTATAAGGAAATAAGATAGTGACGACACTACTTTTGGATTGCCCTAAGTATCTTGTATTTTGATCGAATGTTGGTGATAATGAGACTATCATTCAGAGCATTGCATATTATTCAAAAGGATAGAGAATAGGAAGAGAAATGTAAGAAAATTGCCATATAAATACATGATTAGATTATCACTCATCTTTTGATTTCAGTCTTCTTTCTATTCAGATTTTGTTAGAACTTTATTGAGAGAGGTTAGCATTTTACTACTAGTAACAACTTATTAAAATATTTTTCGATAATACATTTTTCATTGCGGTCAATCGAGAGATTCATTTTTTTGACTACTGACTAATCTGGTCTAAATAAGTTAGTTAGTGGATATCTTCGGATTACCCACTTGGGATTTTCATTTCTTGGTGAAAATTTCGATAATTTTTCAATGTGAAAATTCGAGAAAAATGAAAATCAACTAAAAATTTCGAAATACACATCATTCGACTCAGTCTTTGATCCTGATTTCGAATATGATGTTTTTATTACATAGAAGTTGAGTTCTGTTAGAGAAAATCTAGGATTACGAGCAGAATTCTGACTCGGTCCAGGCGACTGTGCAAGAAATACTTTTTGCATTAGGTGCAAAATACCTAGGAAAATCGAGGTTTTTTCAATTTTTAAAAATTTCACCTCGCCGCCAAAACTTATCCAATCAGTGAGTTATTGCACATGCATACGCTTGAGGGTGTCCTCCACAAACTGGCAAAGTTTGAAGGTATGTTTTGGGGGAGGGGGGGATGAGGGTCCTTTAAACAGAGTGGGGCATCGGGCGAGGTTCTCTCGTTAACGATAATAAATATGCTCATAGTACAAGTACAAAGTATTTGTTGAAAGTATACAAGTAAACGTACAAGTACTGTTTTAAAGTGCAAGTACTTTTACTTGAATACTTGTACTTGTCCATGTTCTGTTCTATATGCCTAGAAATCTAAACTTTTCTTTTCATTTTTCGTATTTTTCTCACAATAAAAGCAAAGAGAAATGTTTGGCATTTGTTCATATAGAAAAGAGAACAAGATATCTCTTATTTGATACGGCTCTACTAAAAAGGTGTGATATTGTACTATATTCTATAGTATCTAATCTGATGAACGGTAGAGAACGAAAAAACATGATTATCAGTATAGATCTTTTAGAATTAAGTATGTTAAGAATTAACTAGCATGGAAAAGAATCCAACGAATTAAAATGCAGAAGTATCTTAATTAATTCATATCTGAAGAATACTGTAATTTATCAGATCAGAAAAATTAATCAATCAAAAGATTAGTGAATCGAAGATTTTGCTTTATAATTATGAGTATAATTAGGTTTTATGGCTTAGAATTATGGTGTATCAACTGTAAGTATTTAATGTTTTGTGATTTATGCAGTATTTACTTAGATGTACAACCTTTACTCTTGTATAAGACAATTACATTGTTGCCAAATAGACATGATTGCATATTGTTTGTGTTGTATTGGATTTGTGGAATGCATGATCAAAAAACACAGTGGAAATAGTTCTGTGTACATCTAATAATAATTACGTACAATTCAATTCACTCCTCTGCCTCTTTTTACAGGTGCATTTTGCAATGGTAATATGTGTCAATAGATTTTTGAGATGATATGATATAAGATTAGATTTTATGACCGTTACTCGTAGTTAATTTGAAACTATTTCTCATTGTTATTAGTCTTGAGGAAAAGGCAAAGAATGTGTCATCTTTTAAGGTACTGTTTGCTTGCCTGAAAATATTCAACACATCAGACAGTATTTTGTTATCAACGTAAGTGATCAATATCTGTTAGTATTAGTTTTTAAACCGAAATTTTGATTGCAGTCACTATTCACACAAAAGAGTATTGTCAAAATTTTAACACTTTTTTGAATTTCATATAGAACGAGTCAAGAAGTTAACCAACAATGATCTTCTTTGTGCTTTTCTCTAGATATTTTCTCACTCATAATCATTTCAAAAAATGCTTGATTCATTTGATGAAGTTTGCCAAATAGATGAGGTTGAAAAAACCAGTTGATAATTTCTATTTTGTGACTACTTGGGATTCTGTAAAACATGTCTGGAACTATGAAAAAAAAAAGATGGAAAAAGCGAGTTTAACAAATACAGTGAAATTCATCGTTTACTGATAAATTACGATCTAATTTTTCCCGTTTTCTTACTTTGCGCTTTGACTCTGATGGTATCTAGTTGTTTTTTCTTATTCTAATAAGGACGAAGAAAAAGATAGTTTGATGTCATCTGTAATATATTCGATCGAACAGATAAATGGTGATATGCATATGGCTTAATGATAAAAAAGTGTATGCAAATGTGTGCTTATGAGACTGACAAACACCAGCAAACATTTATTTCTAGGTTGCATACATTCTGCTGTGTTGTGATCGATCAGCGCATGAGAGCATGCCAGATGCTGAATATATTTGTTGCTCCACTTTTAATGAAAGCGTCTACGGCTTTGACGCTTAACAAGGAATTGTTTTGAACCTCTGTTACGTAGTGTTATGTTCAGTATTGTAATTTTTTCCTATCATATTTATACTTTTTTTTAGGAGAAATGGATGTTGGAAAGTGAAGTATTGTCCGTAGTTAATATAGCTTACGAGTATCGAAAAATAAAAATCGGCTTAAAGTGCACAAAAAAGGCAGTTAATAAAGACGATGCTAGACTGATCGGTAGGCGGTATCTACCGTTGGCTCAGCATCTTTAACAAATTGATTCTCTTTTATTTAGTGCTCACAGCGGACACACAACCATTTAGTCTCTTAGAATCTACTATAACTTTATGTGACAGCAAGAGAATACCGTACGTTTTTATTCCATTTAAACGCGGCTTAGGTAGAGTAACTGGAGTTCTAAGGGGTGTAGCTGCCTGTGCAATTCCAAAATCTATTGATAAAGCCAAAGCCAAAAAGAAAACGGATGCTTTGGTTGAAAGGTTAATTCAATAAAAAAAGTTGTTTCGTTGTTATCGTTTTGATTTGTTTTTTAACTGTAGCTTGATTGCATTTTGCATAATGTTAACTACTTTTTATTTTTTTGTTATTTATTATGCCGTTGTAGTTTTCATTAATCGAAATTTTTTTCGCACTTTTTTTAAAAATTTTTTATCCGTTCATTTCTTTTGTAGTAAAGTGTAATAAATCCTTTAGACTTTTTGAAGTAAAACTGATGTTGTAGAATAATGATCTTCATTTATTTGTATAAAATAGTGGGCCGATAGACCTTAGTCGACTGATTTGAGAAGAGGCATAAAGAAACATGCTTTTGTATGAACAAGGCAAATATCACGGGTGTTTTGTTTTATCTGTTGAAAATTCTCGTTTGATAGCTTTAATTTATTAGCTCAATCGGGGCTTGCTCATCAGAAAATCTTTAAGTTCACTAGTAAAGAAAATTATAGTACGCATAATAAAGTAACAGCAGTAGTTTCCATTTTATTGAAATACATATAATTAAATTAAAACGAAATATTTCAACGTTTCGAACTTTAAAAGTTCATTTTCATGATAAGTTTAAGAAGGTTGGAATGTGATTTACTGTTGAAAATGAACTTTTAAAGTTCGAAACGTTGAAATATTTCGTTTTAATTTAATTATATGTATTTCAATAAAATGGAAACTACTGCTGTTACTTTATTATGCGTACTAAAATTTTTGCCCATTCATAAAGAAAATGTGTACAAAGAAAATTATGAAAATTATGTTTTTTATTTCAGATCGACGCGTAGTACTTTAATTCCTTAATCTTCGAAATGATATATGACTTAATTTATCCAAGCGGTAAAATAACAGAATTGGTTGGTGAGTGAAACCGGACCAAGTATTCACAATGTGAAGAATATAGCCGTTCTTCCCACTGAGTTCTCATTCTTTTCTCTTCTAACTGCTTTTTGTTTCATTTCATTATACCCACCCTCTCAGCGATCATCCTATAAGTAGCATTCACTTTTTTTTTCTGGTGCAGTGATTCCTTTTATGTTTTCTGGTTCATCGAGATGCACAAACAGCAGTTGAACTAGGATAAAAGAAGAAGACAGACCGGTGGTTGTACCATCACTGTACACATCATTGGTTTTTAAAATAAAACGGACTGATGGGTCCAAAATACATTCAACCTGCTCGATATACTGAAAACCGTTACACACTCATTCTATGAAAATCTTACTTAGACTGGAAACTGAAACAAACTCCTCGATGTTATCTAATCACGGAAGAACAAATGCGGAGGGAAGAGGAAGAGAAAAATTGGACCGTGGATCCAATTATTGCTGAAGAAATGCGACAACAAAGTTCACGGGCTAGAGAAGAATGGTTGCTTCGTTTAGTAAGTTTCAGATCGGTTTAGTTATTTTTGCTAATCGGTATCTTCACGCTGCTTCATAATATTTTAGGAGCGAGAAGAACAAAAAGAAGAAGAACGATGGCGGCAGGAAAAGCTAAAAAGAGCGTCGGCGGCTAGAATACAACGATTGCGTAAGCAAAAAGAAAAAAGTTGCACCATTTTGTTCGATAGGAATCTCAAAGTAGACTTTTCTTTAGGGCCTTGCCAGCGACAAGTACCACGTCCAGTACCGGTACCACGTCCAGTACCGGTACCACGTCCAGTACAGGTACCACATCCAGTACCGGTACCACGTCCAGTACCAGTACCAGGAGTACTTGTTGATGCACCAGGTCCAGTGCTTATTGATGGAACCTGGAGATTGGGCCGATTTTCGATGAGGAGACTACCTCTAGCCTTTCAGTCAATTCAATCAAGTTGATTCAATTCAATTTGTTCATAGTTTTTTATTTTTCTGTTTATTTCTTGTTTCGAAAAATGTTGATATATCATATAAAAAATATATTCAATAAAATAGTTCTTAAAACTAATATACATGTTTTTTATGCTATGCTGCCGTAGTCATATGACGCTTGTCTTCACCCTAAATGCATCTCTTGGCTGATAAAAATGCCTTCTTTTTGTTTTACATATCTGATCCATACATACTCTTCTAGTTAATCATGATCGGCTACAAAATAACATGCATTCCGAATCAACAAACACGCGGAGAAGTTCAAACAAACCTACGACTAGAATTTGACAGTGATCCTGATAACCGCATGGTTTATATGATTGTCGCTGAAGTAGCTGCAACATCTACACATAGTCGACATATGATTGTACAAGTTATATACAAGAACGAAATGGTGTTTGATCAAAATAAATTACAAAGAGCCTTCGATTTTAGAGGAAAAATTACATGCAAGAAAATTCATTTTAACTGGAAATTTAATCAGGCTCTCAGAATCAACAGAAAAGTAATTGAATATGGCTCCGTAAACGACATACCACGTCATGTTGAAGCGCCTTGGAAACAGGAAGAGGGCATGGATGATAGTTTCTTAGATCAAATGGATTCAAAAGATTTAGATGCGATAGACCGAACACTGAAGGAAGCTCTAATACCTTCTCAACAAACGATAGAAGACGAACTAGACCTTAGTTTCCGTTTGCTTGATGAGTTGAATGATTCAGGATTAGCTGGTTCAACCACGAGCGAAACTAATGACGATCATGGTAAAAGCAAAATGTAAAAACTATGCTTTACACTTTAAGTAGACTTCTGTTCTAAATATTGTAGGTAACCAAACACATGATAATGTATACTCAGCTGTCCGACAACTGACAAGCACTATTGTGACTGAATGCGTAAAGCGTACAGAAAAATAAATCTTTTCTATGCTACTCCTGTATAGTTACCTCAGCTGCATTTAACTCAATTCATCTTAACCTTAATTAATTATTGCATTATTTTATTTGCTTATTATAACAAGAAAAAAACAATTAAGTTTTGATTTTTTCAACATTTCATTAGTTGTACCTTAGTTTTTAGATATAGTATATCAAGTTATTATTAATAAAATTCGAAATATGTTTCAACTTAAAACTATTAGAATGAATTTGGGATGAATGTAATGTGACAATGAGTAGGCTTTAGAAAAATGGGTATCTCGTTTCTCTCTCCCCAAAAGCATATTATTAGTTTGAACTTCGACTAACCAATCTAGACATTCAAGATAATAACTTTAAGATTTTGCGTGACTTTCAAAATTATATGTAGAAAATGACTGATAAAGTTTCTGACAGCGAAACTATATCATATGTGCCATTAAATCAAGATATTGGTTATACTCTGACGAAATATTCGGACGGAACAGATGTTGTGAATTTCATGGAGGCCACTAATGGATCAGTATAATTTGGCACTATTGAAATTGTATCAGATGATGCGTTTCGAAAGAAATTTGAGGCAGTCGGAAAAGGCCAACCAGTCATCATCAAACTACCAAATGAAGATAGTTTAAAACAAATATATAAGTCCGACAGATTTTATGTATATCCCGATTCATATTATCAGATGGAGTTAGTTCGTCTGTTTGTTCATCCTTGTTTTACGCTCCCAGCATTTTTATAATTATGTATACTGTATAAAAGCCCGTTGTTTCAGTGTTATTCTCGTCTATTATCTTATAATTCATTTTCATCGTTCACCGGTTTTCCTGTACTCGACTACTTCCAATATCAGCATCTATTAGAAACAAATCGTACACTGTCTGTGCATGAAAAGGAATTATTTAAAGGTTGTATTTGTATTATATACTATTGAATTAACAAGCGATGTTCACTTTCTTTTATTACAGCGTTGATTCACTTTTCATCGAAACAGCAGAAAACACCGTGCACGAGCCTGTCATTTACTACAAAATTTGGCGACTTCGAACACAATCTAAAGACACGATTTCCATCAGCATCATGGTTACCAGCAATCAATTCGGATAAATTTATAGTAGCTGGTGGTGCGGTTGTCAATTCTTTATGTAACAGTCCATTTTATGATACACTTGATCAAAACGTAAATATCTGTTTCGTAGGAGGCTCACTTACTGACTTTTTTTATGAAATAGCAGCAACGGCTGACAAACTAAAAACGTATTTTGAATCATAGCATCAGTTTTCTAAGATTGTTAAGGAATATCAATCGAATAGCCAAATTTGTAATCTTTCGTTGCGTAATCTAATTAAATTGCAATTTATGTATTTTAAAGATAATTGTTCTATTACTTATCTGTTGCATAACTTTGATATTGATATCACGGAAATTTGTTATACAGGTATAGTGTATCTCTCGTTTTCGTTCTTAAAAAATTAATTCAGACATTCTTCTTCTAGGAAAAAGCTTACTTTGTACATTTTGTTTTCTTCAATCATTAGTCAGGAAAACGTTCATCGTGTATTCGTTACGTCCTCATATGACACATGCCTATTTTCTCCGTGTGAGGAAATGGTACAGAAGAGGTTTTCAGTTTCTCGAACCAACTGCGTTTCATATGCGATATCTACACCGAGCATCAGTTTGCAAAGACTCGGACAATGTGATTCTCGATGAGGAACGAAAGCAATTGAATGAGCAATACGGTATAGATGAAGAAGAGCTGAATGATATTCTGCCCGGAGAGAGGCTGTACCTAGGCGCGACAAATCTTGATAGATATTTGATTCAAGAAAGATTTATTTCGATCATCAGTCCAAAAATGGCTTTTTATGGTTTAAACGACGAACAGAAACGACATGTATTGGACTACAGGCGTCGTTAATGTTCAGGCTTTGCAGTTAAGCACAATGGATTTCCAATAACAGTTTTCTCAATCTTTTTTTTTTTCTATGCTAAGAACAACATTTTAATAAACGTATATCAGGCTTTTCTTTGATCTTATCAACGTTCTCTGTATCATATATTTTTCGCTGTTCAATAGATTAAGTATTGAAAAAAAACGTATTGTAAACTTTCTGTTATTTTTTACAGATTTCGAAGAAGTATCTTCAGTAATTACGTTGCGTTCGCTATAAGAGTCATCTACTGTTGTAGTCCACGATTAAAAATATTCCAACACGTCTAATTTAGTAAAGTAATTTTTAACAAAATTATACTGATCATCATAGAGATTTGAACTTATACAATGGAACTGTCTTGTGCCTTATGCGGTTCGGTCACAAACGCTGAAGTCTGTACCAAATGTCGTGGTTTCTCCCGTTCCGAAAAATTCAACAACTTGTTAAAAAATTTACAACAAGTTTCTACAGCATATGACGCAGAGAATCAGATTCTCACTGTTGCAAAACGCATCCATAGGTTAACAATACAAATGGCACCGTTGTCGTATACACCCACAACACATTTTGATGCACGTCTACACAAACTTGATACAGTGGCACAAGTTTACTTGTCCAAATGTAACCTTTCTAATTTACTAGATCTTATTCCCGTTGAGTCTACTGGTAATGGAAATTGTTTGTACAATTCTATTCTAACATTAGTGCAGTCCCCATCTGAGATTACAGCCGAAGAATTGAGAGTTCGTGCTATCGTTGAATTAGCAATGAATTACAATTATTACAACATTAAATATGAAAGAATTGTTGGTCCGTTAAATTTACGTATCAAAGCAATGTGCAAGAATTATGAATTTTCTGAACTGTTCGAAATCGATG